GAGAGAGAGAGAGAGAGAGAGAGAGAGAGAGAGAGAGAGAGAGAGAGAGAGAGAGAGAGAGAGAGAGAGAGAGAGAAGGAGAGTAGGAGGAGGAGGAGGAGGAGGAGGAGGAGGACGAAGGGAGGGGTGAGAACCGTCTTCATCCAACTGCATCCCTTAGCTATGGCATTCGTCAGATCGCAACCTATTCCAGCAGACATGTTCAACTTGGCCCCTTTGTATTCCATCCCTTCGTACTCCATAGCCATGCTTCCGGTGCTCGTTCCTCCTCCTCCTCCGCCTCCTTCTCCTCCTCCTTCCTTCCCACCTCGGCTTCTCTCTCTCTTCCTATGTGGTCTTCCTCCACTACTTCCCCATGGCTTGACATTCGAAACTTCCTCCGTCCTCCTCCTCCCCCCCGCTGCCTCCACCTCCCCCCCGCTGCCTCCACCTCCTCCTTGCCCTCCTCCTCCTCATCCTCCATTGCTGGTGAAGTCATCTATCCCGTCATTCTCAATATTCCTCGTATTCAGGTCTAGCCGAGACTAGCCCTAATACCCTATAGCCCTGGCCGACCCAGTTCCTCAACGGCTATCCGATAGGTGCATACTGGAAATTTGGCACCGGTACCGGTAGGGGCATATTGAACATATCTCAGGCCCAAATGAAGGCAGGTTATTCTTTTTTTTTTTAAAATGAAACCTTTGGAACAAAGGGCCGAATCTCAGCAGATCGTGACGACAAGGCCACWCTACTGCTTACAACACCCCGTTCCCTGTCTAAGTCGTCTGCAAAGGCCCAAAGGGTTTGACTCCCCAAGCGAAAGAAATTGCGATGAAGAGAACCCCAGGGCGTCGGTGCTCCACCGCAGGAGGGACAACTCCAAACTTGTGCTTTTGGGGCCAGACGGGCTGGCAGAGGGGCAAATCAGGGTAAGTTGGCCGTCAGAGGGGCAAACCGCAAATAAATGAAAATTTCAGGGGCATTTTGAAAGTTCTCCCAAAAATGCCCCTGAGATGGAAGGGGCCGTTTTGACTCTTGAGACGACCAGGCCATGTACAAGGGAAGCACATAGACTGAGGGTAATCGTACCTAGCTTTTGTCTTCCGATTATGGTATTTTTATTTTGTTTTTTCTTATTTTATTTTTCTTCTGGCTATAGGCTTGTGACAGTTGAAGAACAGACAGTTCAGTGTGGTTTGTGGTTTATTGTATTGTTGTTTTTCTTTTGGCTATAGGCTTGTGACCGTATGGAGAACAGACTGTGTTGTGTGGTTTGTGTTTTGTTTTCCTTTAGGCTTGTGAACGCAGGAAGAACAGACGGTTTGGTGTGGTTTTGACTCTCATAGGTATTTGTATGGATAGAGTAGTGAACATGATCAGCGGAATGACAGAAGGATTTGGTGTGAATGCCCGTTGGAGTTGGGCCAGTAACTGCTGGTAATCAGGTGAGAGCATCTGAGCATGCTGAGCTCGGGACGTATCGACCGGCCGAGTGCTCTTTAGGATTCTTCCTCCTCGAAGGG